ATTAATAGCGATATAATTATTACGCACATACTGGGTCTGCAGACTTTATTTCCTTTTCTTGTTTGTTGTCGTGCTATCCGACAGCACTTAATTCTTGTCCAAACGGGGCTTGTGATGTGGCATGAAGATGCTGCATCAAGAGTTAAGAGTGATGCTGCATCATGATGTGGCATCAAGAGTGAAGAGTGATGCTGCATCATGATGGTGCATCAAGAGTGAGGAGTGATGCTGCATCATGATGTGGCATCAAGAGTGAGGAGTGATGTGGCATCATGATGGAGCATCAGGAGTGAAGAGTGATGCTGCTGCATCATGATGTGCCATCAAGAGTGAAGAGTGATGTGGCATCAAGATGGAGCATCAAGAGTGAAGAGTGACGTGGCATCATGATGGAGCATCACAAGTGAAGAGTGATGTGGCATCAAGATGTGGCATCAAGAGTGAAGAGTGATGTGGCATCATGATGGAGCATCACAAGTGAAGAGTGATGTGGCATCATGATGTGGCATCAAGAGTGAAGAGTGATGTGGCATCAAGATGTGGCATCAAGATGTGGCATCAAGAGTGAAGAGTGACGTGGCATCATGATGTGGCATCAAGAGTGAAGAGTGACGTGGCATCATGATGTGGCATCAAGAGTGGAGAGTGATGTGGCATCAAGATGTGGCATCATGAGTGAAGAGTGATGCTACATCATGATGGAGCATCAGGAGTGAAGAGATGTGACATCATGATGGAGCATCAAGAGTGAAGAGTGATGTGACATCATGATGGAGCATCAAGAGTGAAGAGTGACGTGGCATCAAGATGTGGCATCAAGAGTGAAGAGTGATGTGGCATCATGATGGAGCATCAAGAGTGAAGAGTGACGTGGCATCATGATGTGGCATCATGAGTGAAGAGTGACGTGGCATCAAGATGGAGCATCAAGAGTGAAGAGTGACGTGGCATCATGATGCAGCATCAAGAGTGAAGAGTGATATGGCATCATGATGTGGCATCAAGAGTGAAGAGTGATATGGCATCATGATGCAGCATCAAGAGTGAAGAGTGATATGGCATCATGATGTGGCATCATGAGTGAAGAGTGATGTGGCATCATGATGTGGCATCAAGAGTGAAGAGTGATGTGGCATCATGATGTGGCATCATGAGTGAAGAGTGATGTGGCATCATGATGGAGCATCAAGAGTGAAGAGTGATGTGGCATCATGATGTGGCATCATGATGTGGCATCATGATGTGGCATCATGATGCAGCATCATGATGCAGCATCAAGAGTGAAGAGTGATGTGGCATCATGATGCAGCATCAAGAGTGAAGAGTGATGTGGCATCATGATGTGGCATCATGATGTGGCATCATGATGTGGCATCATGATGTGGCATCATGATGTGGCATCATGATGTGGCATCAAGAGTGAAGAGTGTGGCATCATGATGTGGCATCAAGAGTGAAGAGTGACGTGGCATCATGATGTGGCATCAAGAGTGAAGAGTGATGTGGCATCATGATGTGGCATAAAGATTGTCAACCAATCGCCGCTGTTTAATTGTCACGTTGTAGTTCCGCCTGTGATGTGTGACACGTGTGAGTTTATCGATGGGAGGAAACATTTGGGTGTCGTGTCCAGTCGAGGACACTCCTGGCTTTTGGTTCTGGGATATTTTTTTGCATAAGTCCCCCAAAATTTGTATCAAAATCCGAATATTTACTTATGCTGCAGGAGGAATCCGATGAGCTATAAAGCTTTTTTCACAGATGTCCAGTCGGGGCACGGGGTAAGAACGTTACAACAACAAACAATAAACAAACATGATAGTAGTGCAAAGTACATGAAAGGTAAACAAATCACCCAAACATATACAAATAAAACTAAACCATCCCCATCCTATCGGGCAAAGCCCACCGAGGTATGAACTTATTTTTTCAGTCCTTGTCAACGAATGGCTGGCTTCACAAAGTTTGGTTTCGTGTGGAATTGCCCACACTTCACAGTGCACCTCCTGGCCATCAGCGTTGCGATTGACAATGGTCAATGCCCACGTGACGGGAACGCGTCTTGGTGAATGTTTTTTCCTCTGAGGAGTGCCAATGGCGCCCGCAAGCACTGCCGTTGCGTCTCGAACGCCTCGTGCACACACACAGCTCGCTGTGGTTAACCATACCAACGTGAGGGGGTCCTCCTGAACTGTTCCTGTAGGAACAAAGAGATTTCCTACTGCTATGAGTGGAGCATGCCTCCAAATTCATCCACACCATTACAGATAATTGACAGGCGATTGGAGTGTATTTCGTGTAAAACAGACGTCGAGGGAAAAAAAAGAGATGAGTCACGAGTAGAGCGCCAAACTTTCCAGGCCTTTGCTGCGACAAACCTTCTGCCGAACAGGGACAGCTGCCACAGGACGGTCAATCTGGGCTAGACTTGCAGCAGGCCAATGGAATGCTTGAGATGATGCGATATGTAGAGCGCCGCGCGATGCTGAGCCGTTTAAGCCAGCGCATCTAAATGCGCATCCTTATCCCTATGAACAGCCAGGGGAGAACAAAAAAAAGACGAGTGTCGGTTATGCTCTCTGTCACCTCGTTGAAGGACGGCGTCCGACTGCACTGCATGTCTACAAAGGCCAGGATTGAGAGAGATCAACTGGCACAGAGTACCTATTGTAATTTACATGAATACATTAACCCACCCCCCCACAACCTCTGGTCTTCACACCCTGATTGGCTCAAATTGATGACATCACATTTACACCCTCTATTTCAGACCGAAAAAGGAGGAGGATTTCTCCACAACTCTGGCTGTCGCTTGATGATGCTGGTTGTAATTACTAATGAAACGTGGGTTTACCGGTGGTGCTGAACTAGTCACTAAATGGTATGTTTTGTTTACGTGACAAAACCTGACTAATCAGCTGCGTCAGGTGGTGCTAGGTTTAATGACACATTTATATTGACGCGATTGAACCCGAAAAAAAATCACTTCTATTATGGATAATATTGGGCACAAAAGCCCTTCTACGACTACGCATTAAACTGGCACAGGCGGAAGACGAGTTGCAAACAGCGACGCGGATAAGGGGGACACGTTGTTCGTAGACCGGCTGTCGCGGAATGCCGACCGGATTGAGCAGGGTAACGGGGTGCTGAGCGGGCGTATATAAAACACTGGAGACCGATATCCCAGCATCCGTTTTGACGTTTATAGCCGCAATTTCTGTTGACGCTCGCAACTTGACATCTCGGTTGGTCCACTTCACTCACCAGCGGCGGATTGCCCCGTCTGTTCGTGATAACACATCGTTATCGCCACCACTTTGAGATGGCCCAGTTTTAATTGCCTTAGTCGTTCACACGTACAGCACAGCCCAATGTCAGTCCACTGCTGGAATAGCAGTGGGAGTTATTTGACAATACTTCACTGCCCACTGCTACCCACCACATAACACCACAACCTTATAGCATGATGATCACCCATCAAAACACGGTATAGGCGGCGAGATGTTAACTACCTCGCCTGGTATGCAGGAGGACGTGGTTTCGATCCCAACCCCGATGCCTGTATATTTTGAGTTTGCATGTTCTCCCCATTCTCACATAGATTTTTCCCTGGTTCCTCTGGTTTTTCCCTCAACATTTAGAAACATACCTTTTGAGTATTTGGTTGCTATACATTTCCAAATGATAAGCCACTTTGTTATCATTTGTGGCCAGGTCGCTTGTGAAAAAGAGCTATATAGATAAGTGGGCCTTACCTATTAAAATAAAAAGTTTTGTTTATAGTTTAGGTTAACCCTGCTTAGCTTCGGAGATTTGATGAGATGAGTGCATTCTGGGTGATTTTAACAGGGCTTATTATTTCTATCAAGAGGGAATCACAGTCACTGTCATTTTTACCAGGGGTCCCCAACCCCCGGGCCAATGATGAACACCCCCCCCTCCCCCCACGGTCCGTGAAAAAATTGTCTTCCACGAAACCGGTCCCTGGTGCCAAAAAGGTTGGGGACCGCTGATTTATACCACGGTGTGTCATGATCGCGTCTCTCTGCCAGACCCTGTAGCTGTTTTGTGGTTGTCTACGTGCAGTGCAAAATAAGTTCAACATACATAGGACACCCGACCTCCAGTAACCTCTCTGACAGTCTCACCAACACCACTGTCTGGTGTTAGGTCTCCTGTTCCCCTCGGTTGTCGGACTCGCGGTGCCACTCCACTGCCTGTCTCAGTCACCTTCCCTTCTCCATCCACCCCCAGCACTAATCACATCTCCACTTGCCAATTACAAAAACAAAGGCAGAGTGGTGTCCTGCTCAATTGACCATTGAAGAGTTGGTGCCCATCTCCTGTTTACTGCCCTACAGTGGGGGCGAGTCTGTCCAAAGGTCAATCACTCTTTACCTCCCTACAAAGTGGTCGTCATTCTATCGACCCCGGAGGGATGATGGGCTGAGTCAATCCCTTCCCAGGATTTGAACTCATGACCTTCCATGCGACCGGCCTGCTGTACCACAGGGCCACTCGGTCGGATCTTATAACTCAGAGCAGTATGTGTGTAATATCTGCACCAAGACAAAACACTAAGTTGCTGTTAAAGACGCGCGAGTGAGCGGCTCAGCCGTGGCTCGGTTCGGGCTCAGGCTCAGGCTCAGCTCCATGGAAACCCTGAGCCTGGCCGGGGCCGTGCTCGGAGCCGGCTCAAGTTTGAGCACTTGGCTGTGAAGCTGGCTCACTTGAGCCAGAGCCAAGCCAGAGCCGAGCTGGGAGAATACCGGCCTGAGAGTGAAGCGAAGGACGGAGTGTGATTACGAAGCCATTCATCTCCCGTTGGCTCCCGCTCACGGTAACGCAGGCCAAGCAGTGCCAGTGTGGTGTAATATCTGCGTTCCTTAAATATGATTTGATAAAGGAATTACTTTGTATAGACCATGACTGTGTATATAGACCATTATCAGTATGACTGTGTTGGTAATGCATGCATGCCGATTTTGTCGTTTCAGTCCATGAGTGGCGTCCTTTTGGTGATCATGGCTGATGGGACGGTGTTTTACGTTTCACAGAACATCCAGCAATACCTGGGTTTCAACCAGGTACATATCGTGCACCAAGACAAATATTTATTGAAATTGTATTAGTCTTTCACGTGTAAGTTTCTTCGAGACTGAACTTGCATACCTCTCTGAGCTTGTGGAGAGGCTTGTTCCAACCAGAAATCTGAGATCTGTGACACAGAGCCTCCTTGTGGCTCCTCGGTGTCGAAGTTGCTTTGGAAGGGCGCTAATTCCTTTGTTTGGCTCCCAGGTTGTGGATGACCTCCCAGTTAACATCGGAGAAGCTGGTAGTTTATTAACATATTAAAACGCTGCTGAAGACCCATCTCTTTGGTCTCATAAAATTCCATGTGGGGTGATTTGTCCAACGGCTCGGCATCGGCCGTTGATGGTCGGTTTGTGCATGACACTCACTTTCGCGCTCGGACTGGGTGGTTCACAATCCGGGTTTGAGCGTTTCTAGTCTGCGTTTGTGGTCTTGGGGACCGGGTTTATTCGTTTCATAGCCTAGGATTGTGGGTTCATAGTTCGAGTATCAGGATTCTCAGTCCGGTTCTACAGCGTGTAGGGTGTTGAAGGTGCGGCATGCAGGGTGTCCATGGTGCAGCGTGTAAGGTGTTCAATATGCGGCGTGTGGGGTGTTCAATGTGCGGCGTGTAGGGTGTTCATGGTGCAGCGTGTAGTGTGTCCATGGTGCTGCATGTAGGGTGTTCATGGTGCAGCGTTTAGTGTGTTTATCGTGCAGCGTGTAGTGTGTTCATGGTGCAAAGTGTCGGGTGTTCATGATGCAGCATGTAGGGTGTTCATTGTGCAGTGTGCAGGGTGTTAATTGTGCAGTGTGCTGGTGCACATTGTGTTCAAGTGGAGTGCACCATGAACCCCATCTAATAAGGAAGGTGTTGCAGTGTTTAAAATTAGGCTAAAAGTGTATTTTACAATCTCTTTTATATATTTACAACTTTATATATTTTTTACTATTTTGCATATCTCAAATTTGAATGATGTAATGTTATGTTTACATGTGACGATTTTATTGTGAATGGCGCTATATTAAATAGAGTTTGATTCTTTGTAAACTTCTCGTTTACAACGGTGTCCAGGGTAACGATCTCGATGATGATGTGTCATTGATGACAATGGTGATGATGATGATGACAGTGTGCGCACGCATTGCTGCCCAGACGGACGTGATTCTGGAGAGCGTCTTTGATCTCATCCACGCGGACGACCGAGCCGCGTTCCAAGCACGCCTCTGCTGGGAGGAGACGGAGCGATGTGACTCTGGTAATGGACCACCACACCTCCCAAGTCCTCCGCGCGTAGTCGGCGGACGCGGTCATAAAGGAGCACATGGGGACAGGGATTAGGCAGCGGAACACGAAGAGGGAAGTGCTTCATCCTGAGCTGACCACGGTGGCTAGGAGACGTAATCTTCCTCGCCTGGTATGCAGGAGGTCGAGGGTTCGATCCCGACTCTGACGCCTGCTGCTGTATATTTTGAGCTTGCACATTCTCCCCGTGGTTGCGTGAATTTTTTCTCCTGGTCCTCCGGTTTTTCCCTTCACATTTAGAATGAACACGCGTTTAGAGTATTTGGCTGCTATAAATTTCCACTTGATGATAAGCCACTTCGTTGAGCTATCATTTGTGGCCAGGTCGTTTCTGAAAAAGAAGCGATTGGCTCAGTGGGCCTTACCTTGTACGTAAAAATGTATCGCTATAAAAATATATACAAATATATATTTATATACAAATATATATTTTTATAGCGATTTGTTTACCTTGCCTCTAATTTGCACTCCTCCACAATAGTTTTTTTTTCCGTTAGATCGCGTAGATGTGTCGTTAAACCTGCGACCACCCGACACAGCCAATTTGCATGCCTATCATGTTTTTCTATTGTTTTTTTGTCATAACGTTCTGTGAAAAATAGCTTTAGAGCTCATCGGATTCCTCCAGTCTAAATAAATATTCTGATCTGACTCTGATTGGAATCACCCCAAATGCGCACAATCTCGTCAGATCTCAGGGAGCTGAGCGGTGGGGGTTGGACCTGGACAGTCTGCGGATTTTGGATACCACCGTGCATAGAGTACGTTGTCAGCAGGCAGCAGTGCAACCATTATTACAGGCGGTCCCCGCTTTTACGATGTTACGTACGTACATACATGTGTTGAACTTCTTTCACACTGCACGTAGCCAACCATGATAATTGGAGGTGCGTTCCTGGAAACCAAATTGTTGTAAATCGGATCGTCGTAAACCAGACCCCTGATTTTCTCATTGGCAGTAGAAACAGTCAAAACATCACTTTGTCGATCTGTTTTGCATTCTATCAGCCATATTTAACAGGTCTTAATAGGTACACATTCACAAAAAAAACATTCACTTGGTAATAACAAAAGCTCCACGCCAAGTGACGTCGAAACCAGACTGACTCTGTTCAAACGCGTTCACAGTTATGTCAGAAGATGCGTCGTGAATCGATCCATGGTGCCATTATATAAATGGCGTAAATCGGACTTTCGTCAACCGGAGACCGCTTGTACAGTTGTCCTGTATTATGCTCCAACATCTCTACTCCCCTACATTAGCAACTCGCGCTGACCAGAGTCGTGACATACGGTCAAGTAGTCCAAACGGCCCATATTGACATTTACTATAAAGCAAATGGAAAGGAATAATAATGACTACGTAGGTTTACTGTTTTTTAAACAGTGCGCCTTTGAGGATGTAGGCTGAGCTCCTTCATCATTTGTTTCTTGCTGGTTTGAAAACTTTTTTCTTGCATTGTCTCTCCCCGATAATAACACTACGTGACACAATTTTTGTTCCTGGGTATTAAGTGTTATTTCATGATTGCTTATGCCTAATAAGTATAGAAAATGGCTATTATTCCCCACAAATTTTTATTTTGTGACCAGGACTGATATTTTGAAATTTACCTATATTCAATGAGAAAACGGGCGAATTTGTGTCTTTTCATTCACATATAGTCAGAAAAAACAACATAAGAATAAGAATTAACATATATTTAAACTAAAGTAATACAAAAATTACTACAAAAGATTTAGAAGTGAGTAGTTTTTCGAGATTTACGATTATACTGTAAATCACTGTCATGAATCAGCCCCCAAATGTAGTCTCCCATCATGTTCTCGTTATACTGTCCTTGGTAGCGGCATTCACAGTCCAGTATATCCTGGTGGAAGCACTCGCCTTGCTCCTTCGAGTACGCTCCCATGTACTCCTTGAATTTATCAAGATGAGCATTAATGATATGGACTTTGAGGGACATCCTAGAGCCCATTGTGCCATAGTTCTTCACCAGAGTCTTAACCAGCTCCACATAGTTTTTGACCTTGTGATTGCCCAGGAAGCCACGAACCACTGCGACAAAGCTGTCCCAAGCCGCTTTCTCCTTACTAGTGAGCGTCTTGGGGAATCATTGCACTCCAGGATCTTCAATACCACGCTTGGATTATAATTATAATCCAAGCGTGGTATTGACATTGTCTCATGAAGGCATGTCTGTTGGGAAACGCTCACGGAACGCAGTACATGGCTCCATGCTAGAGATAGCAGCCTCTGAAAGGTGACCGTCACAGAAGAACTTCTGATGTCCTTTCAAACGCGTTCCACTAAGCCCCGCTCTCGACGTGTCTGTTGCATGGCAGTCAAACCGTATTTCTGTCCTCATAACTGGAACATGCTGAATTAAGTGAACATTTCTCAGCCCATCATCCCTCCGGAGTCAACGTAACGAGTACCACTCTGTGAGGAAGTCAACAGTAGTAGTCCTATGGATGGACTAACCCCTGCTATAAGAATGTGGAATTCCACCACTGGCTCTGCAGGGCTATGAACAAGATGAGCACCAATGCCTTGATGCTCATTTGAGCAGTAAATCACCTCGACTTTGCAGTGGAAATGTGATATGTATTTAAAGTCATCGTTGACTGGGCTGATATCATCATCTCGAGACATTTGAAGCTCCAGTTTAACCATGGCATCTCAACAAAACCTTGGGTCTGCTTTCTGACTTTACAGGACTGTGTACAAGCAGTACATCCACCATCGTGTGTGCTGGTACAGCAGTAGAAGGCTGCAGCGGAGTGATGTGAGGGCTACATTCACATCCAGCACAGATCACCAGAGGTCCATTGCGCATGTGCATCCCGTTTGACAATCCACTGCTGGGTGAATACATTCTGGTTCGAAGCCAGACGTTTCCATGATACGCGCATGGCACGCTTTGGAATGTGCCGCTTGCTGTTTCGTGCATTCACTGGTTTTTGCCCTATGGATTTACGTTCCACTTTGAGGGACATTTTCTGAGTCACGGCTCGGCCTCGAACACCAAGCGGCTCACCTCAGGCGTGAGACACTAGGTTGCTGTTAAAGACGCGCGAGTAAGCGACTCAGCCGTGGCTCGGCTCAGGCTCAGCTCCATGAAAATTTTGAGCCTGGCCGGGACCGTGCTCGGAGCCGACTCAAGTTTGAGCACTTGGCTGTGAAGCTTGCTCACTTGAGCCAGAGCCAAGCCAGAGCCGAGCCCAGGAGAATACCGGTCTGAGAGTGAAGCGAAGGACGGAGTGTGATTACGGAGCCATTCATCTCCCCTTGGCTCCCACTCACGGTAATGCAGGCCAAGCAGTGCCAGCACCCCCGGGCGTGCGCAGACACCTGAGCCTACGTGGGCGCGGAGAGAGAGGCACGGCCTGCAGACATTGCGGCACCAGCGCAGAGCCGCTGCACCAAACGCAAAGATCCCCCGTGTAGCCTACGTCGTTTGTTGGGGAAAGTGCTGAAGCAAGCACCTGTGAAGGCCGGTACGGTGCGCTAAGGGGCAGTGTGATCAGCACGATGCCCTGCCACCCTCGTCTCCCCAATGCTGATGTTTGCACACTTCGCCAGGTACTCATTTAATGCTGAGTTGACCTAGAAGAGACCCAGGACTGGTTCGGATATCATTAGCGACTAATGTTATCTGTGGACGTGAATCAAACCTACGTCGGCTGGTTTATAATGCAATTCGCTAACCACTATGGCACAGCTTCCCCCAGAATGCACCAAGTGCAGAGCAACAATCTTAGGAAATCCTGCAATGTGTCAGAGTGCATGTGTCTCTATGTGTGTGCTATTATTATGGTGGGGAGCGATAGTGTAACGGTTAGCGCGCTGCGCTATGAACCCGGCGACACGGGTTCGATTCCCGCTCACGGCCAACATCAGTGACGATTATCTGAACCGGTCCCGGGCCTCCCCTAGGTCGACTCAGCCTCAAATTAGTACCTGGTGCGGTGTGTAAACATTTCCACTAGGGAGACAAAGGCGGTCGGGCGTGGTGCTGGCCACCCACCCCCTCGTGTACCGATCCGGCCTTCATAGGTGCTCGCTAACAGCACTTGCCCCTATAGTCTGTTAAGGCTATATGGGGGATCTTTGTCTTTGTCTATTATGATGAGTGGCGGCGCATTGGTTGGTACCTTGCATTACGATCCCAGGCACCGTGCGAATTGTCGACCCTGCGCATAATTAGCCAGTAGCATTGGAACCTATTTTGCCCCTGCGAGGTTGAAGCAGCCTTAAGTCCAAGTTTCAATTTTTTTTAGTTTAAGCAGGTGAGACCAATATGTTACATTTGCAACAGTGATTTGGGTCAGCAATGTAACAAAACAAGTACAACAATTAAGCGCAGAGAAATCAGAACAAAACAAACAAATGGAAATGAGAGTAAAGATAATAAAATATAAATCAGAGCAAAACTAATCTTATAGAAATCAGAGAAAAAATCAAATATATAAATCAGAGCAGAAATTATCAAGTAGAAATCAGAGCAGCAATTATCAAATAGAAATCAGAGCAGATATAACTGCATTACAGAAGCATTTGAAAACTAAACCAATATTCAATAAAGTACATTCATAACTGAGGGCTATTTTGAAAAAAGAGAACTCCTTCCACGATTACATGCTGGCCACAGACACGTGGATTCCTGAGAGCGGTTTAAACAGTGCCGCCTGAATCACAGGGCTATATTTACCCGGTGTGACCAAGGGAGAATTGGATCAAAGTCATCGTTCCTCTGCTCAGACACGCACGAGGGAAGTTCTCATTTCCGCTGGCAGCCCCTAAGCCTCTGGCAGAAATTCCACATTCCAATGACAGAGGTCATTCATTCCATAGGACAATTTTAGTTGAGTGTACATATATATAATCCCTTGAGATGGAACATCTCATCCGCAAGGGCGTCCAGGGTGTCAATTGATCACCGTTGACTTTAACACGCAGTAGGCTTTCACGACCAATATTATCCATAGTAGAGGGGGTTTTATTTGTTAGATCGTCTAAATATAAATGTGTCGTTAAACCTGCCACCACCTGACACAGCTAATTAGTAGGGTTTGTCAAGTAAACATTCGCATGTTTTGTTTACATGACAAACCTTACTAACTGCCTGTGCCGGGTGGTGGCGGATTTACAACACATCTATATTAACGCGATCGAACCCTAAACCTTTTTTATGCTGCCGCCCCCTGCATCCTGCTTCCCGAAGGCTGGAAACCCCCTGAAGGACTGTGATGTGGCTGATGATGTCACCTAGCTCTGCCCAACCCCTCTCATCTAGTATGCACGTGTGGGAACAATTTGAACTTTCCCCCTATTTTCCTGTTATCCGATTCGGCAAGCACACACTACCCCTACGTGGGCTGCGTCAGTGCTAAATAGGCGTTCGCAACAAAAACACTTGTCCCCACTGCCATTATAAGACCAAACCGGGGATGTTGTCCACGCCTCCTGGTCTCATTGTGCAGCGTCGCTGGCAGGCAACTTGGACGGATGCTTCAAGTGCATCCTGAGTCACAGCCTGCCGCAGCGTGCCATCAGCTCCATCGCGCACCCGTGACAGCGCCACTGCATGGCTGGCGTGACGCCGAATCGAGGGCTTCAAAGGGGGAGCGGCGCTGTGGCCGTAGCTCGCGGGCGCTTGGGCGTTCAGGGGAGCGCGTGTCCATCGTTGCTACGTGATGTTTGTTCCTAATCCAGCGCTTCACTCTGGAAAGTAAGCAAACTGGTTTTCCACCCCAGCAAGAATGTCATGCAGGTGCCAAAATGCCTGCCAATCATTTATTTTCATTCATTATTTCATACCTTTACAGTCTCCGTATACAGTGACGGAACATTTTCCCGCCCTCCCACCGACTCTTCCTTCCACCTTTGCGGTGGCGGCGGTGGCTTTTGTTCTGCCCTCCCATCGGTGGCGCGTGGCCCGTGGCCCAGACGTGAACCGGAACCACGCACCCGCTGTGACCGCAGCCTCGCGGTCTGCACGTGCGCGCATGCAGGATCCGACTGCTCCAATCTCTCCCACAGGCGACGCGCAAATTGCCTACGAGGGGGCAATGCCGCCACCTCTCGGCCATCGCGCAGCTGCTCACTCGCACCACCTGGCAATCCCACCCTCCGGCATGTTACCCATCCAGGCACTTAACGCCAGCTTACACCCGTATTCTGAAAGCCGATGAGCCAAGACAGTAATAATTACTCATTTAAATTACAGACCTTTGTCAGTTCACTGCTGGATGAAGGCCTCGGCACACCGTATCGATCATGGGCGTTGTTTGACCATACTTCTCCCTGCTGGTCAGTGCGGGTTGTTGAAGGAGAGGCCATAGATGTTGCCCTGGCCAGGAATGAAACTCAGGTCGCCGGGTACATAGCACAGTTTGATAATCACTGCTTCACCATGACAGCGCAATAGACATCGTCGTATTTGCACTGAGTGATCCGGCTGGGTGGTCCTGTCGTTGGGGCGCTCGCCTCAGGATGAGAAGGGAATGAGTTCAAATCTCGACGAGGGCTCGGCACAGCTCATCTCTCTAACAGACAAACCAAGTTCCACTTTGTGGGAAGTCAACAAAGGTCCTCTGTTTAGCGACTCTGGCCTTTGCCATAAGAATGTGGAATTTCCACGAGTGGCTTCAAGCTGCAGAGATGAGTGCTGCCATCATTGGTTGTTTGAGCAGGCAGACATTTTTACTTAATAAATGAGTGCAGTAATAGTGGTCGTATTTACATGCTAAGACAGTCACTGAAAACCGGATCTCGCAGGACGAGTGAACCCACATGTCGACAAGTATTCTTGCAACATCCGGCCAGCCCTGACTTCCCTGCGTACCCCGGCCACAGAAGAAATGTGCTTACCAGGTTCACGAGGGTCGGTCCTTCCTCGCCACGTGGTGATGAATATCACCCCAATGCAGAGACATCTCGAGTAGCAGCTGTGGCCTGACCTTTGGAGCTCCGCGGCTCTGACCGTACCAGGGAATCGCACAGCCACTGCAAATGGCTCCTTCGTGAACGGAGTTTAAAGCTCGCATGGGACGCACAGCCTTGGTGTGTGGCTCCGAGAAAAGATGAAGACGTCGCCACGGCCACAGCCGCCGCTGATGCCACCACCGTATCGCCTTCCTGCCAACGCGTTCTACCCACCGCCAGATCCCGCAGCGACCTCCAAGATCCGTATGGAGGCTCTTTCACCATGTGCCCTTTGGTCTTCTCTTCCCATCGGTCACTGGATTTGTGGAGTCTGCTCCAATGCCGGTCTCAGCAGTCAGCCCTCCCCATCCTCTCGGAGGCCAATGGCTCCCACAACAGAGCAGTGAGACCCTGGGTAATATCTTGGGTACTCAAGGCAGATGCACCTCTCAAGAGGCCAATGACTCCCACAACAAGCAATGGATAGGAGGGACTACACCTGGAGTATTGAATATGATTCGGTCCCAGAATGCTTGAGCAATTTCATTCATGAAAGAGCCTTAATTTCTCATATCTATTAAACGACACACTTTCAACGCAGGGTGTGCCTTAGATTATTTCATTCACAATGAAGAAATAATTTAGTGTAATTCCCTGCCTAATGTGCTACATAAATAACCTACACCTTCATGACGTCTGTCGCTGGTGATTTAGTTTTAATCTAATTCACACGTAATGCTCGTATTTGTGTGCACGCTTCCAACATGCTTGCTTTAAAGAGAAAAGCGCAGCTGATTTGAACCTGCCTGAACCAGAGCAACACTGAGTACCTACGGAAGTTTATTCCCGAGAGCTGACAAGCAAGGGTTTAATATCAGTCATCAGTTGTACGAACGTTCCTTCTTGTAGTTAGGTGATTATGTGAGCATTGTCAAGAGATATCAACTTGTTTCACCCAATTTAGTTAAGCTTTTTTGCAAGGGCCTTCACCTCAAGGTCAAAAACCAAAGGTGACTCGGTGGCTGAGTTCGAATCACGCTTGGCCTCCCCAGTTACACCAGGTTCCCGAGTGCAGAAAGTGTATTTATTCAATTCGCCATTATGGGGGCAAGGGTTGGTGGATCACGCAGAGATCTCCAAACCCACTGAGCTGCAAGATCACCAGGTGACGGCGGGACAGCGTGTGGCATCTTTAGTCCATCTTTGCAGATCTCTGAGTGGTATTCCTGGCATGCATAATAATAATGTCATTTTATATAGCGTCTTTCATTAATTATCCAGTTCGGTACAAAAATACTAAAATAAAACCGTGCTACTTAGCTAAAAAAGAATACATAAATAACGATAAAACAATGCACATCAGAAGAAAAAATAATTGCAACGAAAATCACGGCTTATCTTTACTTATGACGGTCTCCTCCCAAACACAAACATCAATTAGCCAATATTCCAATGCAGGACCCTTCTGAAAGAGTCCTGATACTCGGTGATGCTTGAATAAATCGCATATTACGCATTTCAGATATATTCTTTGTTGATGCAATCGTTTGTATAAAGGAAAAAAATCATTTCACTGTCGGTGAAAAACCTTGCATAAGCCCAGACTACATGCAGACTCCAAGTAATAAGAATAATAATTAGCAGACCTTTTATAAATCCACTGCTGGATGAAGAACTCTCAACACTGTCGGTCACAGCATTGGTTTGTCCATACTTCGCCAGGCTGGTCGGTGTGAGTTGGTGAAGGGAGGGTACCCAGGACCGGGTTTATATATATTACTCGTCAACATTATAAGCCGTGGCTTCGAATCCAAATCAGGTCATCTGCTTCACAGTATAGTGCCCTAACCGCTGCACCTCTGCTCGCTTCAATGCAGAATTACATCTCACAATTATGGGAAGGGAATTCATTGTTTGATTATATTCTCTAGTGACTAGTGATTATTTATTCTGCATGATTTTACTATTATTTTACCCATTGTCAGTCTTTTGTTTGTTAATTATTACTTAATGGTATTTTTTAAAATCTTTAAAATAGTTTTGCATCAGACCCATATCAAACAGAGGGGTGTTTTGCCTATAAACGTCTGGAAGTTCACCAGCATTGGCTCAAACAACCCTGACTGATGATGAGACACTGAATGTCAAAAACTGGGGTAGAGTTTTGCTTGTGTTGAGAACCAACGCTGCTGACATTTGCACTCTAAAAAAACTATGTGGCTGATGGGATATGTAAAGTTTAACTATGTGGCTGATGGGATATGTAAAGTTTAACACGTAGGCTTTCGTAACCGATATGATCCATAATCGAGGTTTTTTTGGGTTAGATTGCGTGAATATAATTGAATCGTCACGGTGCTCGAATTGTAAATGTGTGGGTTTACTCTCCAACAAAGAACCGGTGTGCTCTACTAGTAACGAATCTGCACGTTTTGTTTACGTGACAACCCTTACTGATTGGCTATCGGGTTGTGGCGGGTTTAACGACACATTTACAGTTACGTGATCCAACCCCAAAAACCTCTATTAGGGGATGTGTAAAGTGTGCTTTTATATTTCATGTCGAAGGCTAGCTATGGGAAGTTACGTGATCCAACCCCAAAAACCTCTATTAGGGGATGTGTAAAGTGTGCTTTTATATTTCATTTCGAAGGCTAGCTATGGGAAGGAGGCACCTTGTCTGCGTATTTATTGTACATCTTACGAAGCTCCTGTCTGATACGGTGCTGATCTTGGCGCGGACCGTTTCTTTTAGGAGCACAATCGACGGCAGTGACTGAACAGCAACGCAACTTTTCCTGCCGCTTCCGCTGCCTGCTGGACAACAACTCTGGGTTCATGGTGAACAACAACCTCTGGGTCATCCTCACCGCTAATCGTAATCATCGTCATCAGGATTCAAATTGGAGTCTTAGGGCTGCATTGGGGCGCCATGATGGCGATATGTTAACTACCTCGCTTGGTATACAGGAGGTCGTGGGTTCGATCCGGACCCTAATGCCTGGAGTATATTTGGAGTTTGCATGTTCTCCCTATGGTTGCGTGGATTTTTCTCCGGGTGCTCCAAATTTAGAAACATGCGTTTAGAGTATTTGACTGCTTTCAATTTCCACAAGATGAGCCACTTCGTTGAGCTATAATTTGTGGCCAGGTCGCTTCTGAAAAAGAGCTATATAGCTCCATGGGTGTTTCCTAGTCAAATAAGAAATACTAATAAATAGTTGCAATTACTGGCGAAACGTTGTACTCAGATTTTAAATATTATGGCTTTGCTCTCCAACACACCGGTGTGCTATACTAGTAACAAATTGGCATGTTCTGGTTATGTGACAAACCTTACTAATTAGCTGTATCAGTTGGTGGCAGATCTGACGACACATATATTTAGGCGATCTAACCCAAAAAGCCTGTATTATGGATAGTTCATACAATCAATCCACCTGCCAACAAAGGTTTATTTTCCAGGCAATGAGCGTTTGTGGGTTATCAAGTGTTTCCAGAACATCGCCCAAATGTCATTTGAACGTATTGGTGGTACACCGGTGTGTGTTATAAAGAAAGCAAATTTTTACAGGAATTATTTACTTTTCGGTGATTCGCAACCCCCGCTCAGAAAATCTTGCGGGGTGAGTGTCAAAATCAGTTCTCGTGATGTCGAAGCAGTCGGAAGACGAATGTCAGTTCAAATGATACTTTTAGAACTGTTTTTTATGAGGACCGGTGTGTGTTACGCTGCACCGGTGTACGGCCGCGGAACGCCTATCGAACAATAGCTTTGGGGAGATGCTTTTGTTGAATCTTGAAGGGCAGGGAGTATCATTGGTCGCCCGTGTGGTCTTACCGTGCCACTCGTCCTTCCAGATGCTTCAGGTGCAGGGCAAGTTAAAGCGGCTGGGCAGCGGCGGCGTTGGCTCCCTGGGTGCAGGTGGTGGTGGACCGGCGCTGTTTGCCCTTGCGGTTCCGCAGAATCCCATGCTGCCCACGGAGCTGCGGCTCTGGAACATCATCTTCACCACGAAGCACAAGCTAGACTTCTCCACGCTCAGCCTCGACTCCAAGTACGGGGGGCCCACGTTTACATGAAACATTTTTTTATGCAGCCAGCTGCTCACGTGCCTTGCCCCATGTTCTTGTCAGCCCTGGTGCCACACACCTCTGCACCTGTCAAAAACCTCCTGATTAGCTCTAAATCATTGGTCAGTTGCCTCCTTATCACTCTTATATCGCTACTGCGAATGGTAAATGTTCCCATTTACATCGCTCGTTGATTCCTCCATCCATGTTGAGGAATCAGTCTACCAGACAGCGACTTCTCGTCCTTACGGTGTTCAACCACCATAATACAGGTCACAACATTTCTCTTTCTGCTTTTTCCCTTGCACTGCTCCACTTGAGAATGTCCTCCCATCATCTCTTTTCCCAAGCTCTTGTTTATAATCTTGCTCATTTCAAGAAATGTGTTAAAGCTTGTCTTTAACAACTCTGAGGTGCTGCTAGTTGCTGGCCTTCGTGACGTTTTGGGCTTGTCTCAGCAACTGTATTTCAAAGTGTTACCCAATTGACTTCAGCTTTTTCACTTTCTTGTTTCATAATTCTTGTCTATTACGACAAGATGTGTTCTTGCTGCATCCCGCTTCATGGAGCCTGAGGCCAAAAGACGGAAGGACTTCCGTAATGCCAGGAATGTGGTCGGCTTAAGTGTTACCGTAACTCCCATTCCATAAGGTGGTTAAGACGAATAAACCGTGAATAATTAGGAGATAACTTTGGGATTTGTCTGAACCACTTCGAACATCGATTGACAAAGTAAGAAAAAGTCAGTGGATAATTAATAACGTAGCTATTCGTCGTTAATTAACTTAGCTTCATTAGGAGACACGAATTTGCAAATATAAAACCTGCATTGTACATTAGAAATACCCATGATTAATACTTTCAAAATGTTTAACAATGTAACAAAAAACTACACCCAAACCCACTTCACAATATATCGTATAATCAAATCCCATGAATCAATGTGTAATACTGGTACATCTCGTCATTCAGGTAATCAGGGGAGCGAGCCTGCTGGGAGGTGCCAGAAGGAGGGCGTAGCCAGAGGGCGGGGGGAAGGCCACGCTAGGGGGATAAAAGGGCAGCGCGATACAGTAAAGGGTCGTCATTGTGGGTAACACTCGGTGGGTCGGGTCACGTCGTCTGGTTGGGATCTTCAATAGCCTCGCGTGTAGGGGGTTACATAGTGTCACACAGTGGCACACAGTGGCACACATTATAGAACACGTCCCGTATGGGAAGTGTTAATAAAAGACTCGCCTCAACTCACTTAGTGTGTATGTCTTTATTGAAGCACTAGAAATGTAATACAGACCAAGGCCTGACAATTTGCATGATCAACTAGGCCTGAAGCCTGTTAAAACAATTATTAACATCAAAACAAGGCACGACTAAGACCCAACCACGTGCGCAATCAACTGGGCCAAAGCTCATCCATTTGCATGATCAGCTAGGCCTGTAGCCTGTTCATCCATTCATATAACACCACATTATTTACGTATTACCTTTGCACATAACACAATATTACACTGGAAATATTGCCAAAAACTAGGAATTTGAGTTTGGCATCACAAACCTGTAATGAGATCACACCGGGTCATGACTCAGCCTACAGATATAGCATGCCCCATCCTGCTCTCGAACAAATGACTACACCCCATGTTGTGAATTCGTTTTTAGTAGAAATGATCAGTTTTAACTTTATTGACTTCAAGTATGTATTATAAATAATATATATCTGTGATTCATCCAACATAGAGGGGTTTTTTGTGGGTTAGATCATGTAAATATAAATCTGTGAAACCCGCCACCACCTGACACAGCCAATAAGTAAGGTTTGTCACGTAACCAGAACATGGCAGTTCGTTACTAATACAGCACACCGCTGTTTTGGAGAGTAAATCCACAACATTTACAATCAATCGCACAGTAAATCACACAGTATTCTGCATTACAATGGACTACTTCAGATTTAAATTCAAATATTTAGCTCCGTGTGAATGCGACCTACCTCAAGTGCCCAATGTGGCTGTGAGTTGAAAGTTACATGATTGTTTACATGCATTCATTTGAAAGGGAAAAGCCCAAATGTACTGTCCCTCTGCTTTTAGCGAATCACGATTCAGTCCCGTCCACACTGCCATTACGCAATCTCAGTCCGCATTGTAACTATGCGATCGCATGCACCATTTATCGCGAACATAACCACACCTAGTACAGCTACATGGGGGACTTTCATGGTGGCCATGTTGCACGGATGTTGAATCCTTGCTGCCGATTAGCTGGTGCAATGGGAGTGATGATGACGTGATCCCTAGCAATCGCTGCCACGCCCACAGGGTTCTGATCTCACTGCAAAACCGATATTTGTATTGTTTTCTCTTACTACATTTTAGATCTGCAGGGTGGTGCAGTGGCGGCCTCACAGCAAGAAGGGCCCTGGGTTTGATTCCTAACGCATTCTCCCCCTGTTCTGCATGGGTTTCATCCGTGTCCTGTGGATATCCTTCCATAGTAAAAAAAAAAACCCATACAACGTAACTGGTATTTGTCCAAACATCCGAATGCTGAAAAAATTACGAAAATGTTTAGAATTTTCTGTACCCAGGTCCGTGCTGGCCATGTTGCTTGCATCCCACACAGGGCCCGGCTGGTGATGGGCTACACTAGTGTGGAGTTCCGGAGGCGCAAAGCGGTCAACTTCCAGCACCTGGGCGACATGCTCTACTTGAAGGCAAACAACTTGATACGTGAGACGCGCACCACTGTTGAACATCTCTGCCGTCGTAAAGAAAACTTACATTTCAAAAATATATAGACATTAATATCCCTATCTGGCACACAATGTTTAGTTACACCTCTCAATATGGCTCTCGCTACAAGCACAGAGGGTTTAACCGTACACTTGTTTGGCCAGGAAAGCCTGACCGTGTCCCAAAACTCTCTTTGAGGGGGGTGTTCTGTTAAGTTTCTATAGTAGGGGGGGCAGTGATTGCCTGTGGCTGTGTGTTTCCACATTAAGTATTTTTTTTCCAAATTTTTACAATTTGAAAAAAAAATTGGGACCTTAACACCAGCTCGCAATTGCCTACTCTCCTTCTGACGACATCACAGAATCGTTTACGTCCACTTTTAAGTGTCTGGTGAAAGTTTTATGCCACAGATTTGAGCCCACGAACCTCGGTCTCACGACATGACCGCACTATTTTGAATGCAATTTAGAGAATAACATAAAATAAAGATCCTGAGGATAGGGTAAACCAGACTCCGGGCTATGAACATTGGCCCCATCCCTTGAAGCCGGGTCCGCACCGCCCGCACTAACGATGCGGCCGCGAGTCGTCAAGAGGCCTCGGGTGGCGTGGGTCGTGACTGCTGTCCGTCCCGTTGACGTCCCTGGTAGTGATGAAGAACGGGGAGAGCGAGCCCGTGGTTTTCCGCCTGCTCAGCAAGCAGGGCAAGTGGCTCTGGGTGAAGGCCTCCGCGCGAATCATCTACCGCAAGGGCAAGGCCGACTTCATCATCGCCACGCAGTTCTTGCTCCGGTACCGCACGGCAACACGTTGCCATTTTTTTCCGCATGCGTCCGGTCGCACGTAACGACATGCATTGCTTTTTTTTACTTATCCGTTCAAATATTTTGCAGGGAAATTACATTGAGATTGGACATTTTGCTTTCAAGGGCGTCCAGGGTGTCAGTTGACATGTACATGTCAAACATGTGGCGAAATGTACACATTCCTCAACACATACACTCACATTTTCACACTGATACTCATAAATATACACACAAAAGTCCAAACACCCCGTATAGTCTGACCAGATTGTTGGGGCAAGTGCTGTTAGCGAGCACCTATGAAGGCCAGCACCACGCCCGGCCGCCTTTGACTTCCTCGTCACGATGTTTATACACCGCACCAGGTACTCTGATTTCACCCAGGGGAGACATGTATCACTGGTGTTGGCCGTGAGCGGGAATTGAACTTGGGCTGCTGGATTCGTAGCGCAGCACACTAACCGCTGCACTACCACTCCCCATATACAAAAACAAAGATTCCCCGTATAGCCTTAACATACTGTTGGGGCAAGTGCTGTTGGCGAGCGGCACCTATGCCGGAACGGCACGCAAAGTGGTGGATGGCCAACACCATGTCCGGCCGCCTTTCTCTCCCAAGTGTAGATGTTTACACACTGTACCAGGTACTCATTTTAGGCTGAGTCGACCTAGACGAGTCCCGGAGCCGGGTCAGATAATCGTCATAGGTGTTGACCGTGAATAGTAATGGAACTCGATCACCGGGTTTGTAGCGCCACGCGCTAACCACTACACTACTGCTCCCCACACACACTCACACACAGCAAACATGCAATCACACGTACATACACACTTTTCATTCCATTACTCATACAGCATGCATTTATACGGTGATTATCGCACCCAATAAAAAACGCATCAACAAATACTGAACATTAATGATGAAATGTAGCCTGTTCACCTGGAGTGCACTCTCGCTGTGACGCTGACCGCGATGCGTGTGGGCAGTATGGGTAGTGTGGGCAGCAGAGAGCAGTGAAATCCATTGTTGCTATGCACTACGCTCCCGCGCCTACATTAAGGCATTTTCCGCCAATTAATGAGCGTTGGTATGTGGGAGGATACCGGAGTACCTCGAGAAAGCCAACGCGTCTGATGGGGACAACACTCTATCCTATACAGATGGAACAAGTGAAGTTCTCACTGCTATAATTTTCCACATGATAAGCCACTTTTTTGAGTTACGATAGCTGGGTCGTTTGTAAAATAAAAAGTTTAGTTTGTAGTTTAGTTTAAACCTGTTTAGCTTCGGAGATTTGATGAGATTAGGGCATTCTGGGTGATTTAAACAGTGCTCATTATTTCTATCAAGAGGGAATCACAATCATTTCCATCGATGCCATTGTGTCTCTCTGCCAGACTTTGTAGCTATTGCATGATTAGCATAGTCGGCTACTTCCGGTGTGAAAGAAGTTCAACATATACATGTGAAGTTAGCGACTTCCGATACACGTTGTGTAGAAGGTTTCTTATTTATTAGGAACACACTGGGCGATACATGTATGTAACGCAGCTACACATAGCCGACCCTATCACACAACCCCATTGTGGGCGTCCAACTATGCAGTTGTCCGAATAGCGCAGCAACGGCGACGATGAGAGCCTTGAAGAAGATCAGCCACGTGGTCGGACGACGAAGAGAGATGATGGCGAGCAGCCAGGACCCGGCACAGCACCGAACCTCTGGTTCGGTCCCCCTTATATACGCCCCAGCGCGGCCAAGCCCCGCCTCCGGCCACACCCCCTTCTAGAACCTTCAAGCAGGTTCCCGGAGCTTCCCGACTGACTCTGCCTTTCACCTTTACCCCAGATATGCCCCCCTCGTAATTAGGCATTACGTTATATACCCATAACCGCGATTACCCCTTCAGGCTGACAGGTGGCACCTTGTCATTACACATACATACATTGTTCCAGCGAGCCAGGGTATGGCAATCTCGACGCCTATGGGAAGGGAGTTTCACAACGTCTGTGCGGCGATCCACTTACCCTCGCTGCTGCCTCCACAGTGATGGATTGCAGTCCACATGCATAGTTACCACCTCCGTTTGATGGATTCAATGTCATTTATTTTTTTACGATTAAACAAACACACACGTGTTGCCAACTGCAACACGCGTGTGTTGGCAAAAGTGTGCATGTCGTTACCGACTCAAATCATTGTTCCTCAGTGGTGCGTGCTCGTCTCTCGGCAGGGACGAAGAAGGAGAATATTACCTGAAGAACCGAAATCCCGAATGCAAGTTTGATGTCACGGGTGAAGCGATTGATGTCTCGCAGATCCCTCCCATAAATTCCCAGCAGCCCAAAGCCAAACTGTGCCGCACCAGCAGTGATAACAGGAGCATCAGTGGTGGCAACAAAGCCGGCCAGGAGCTTACAAAGAGATTGACAAGTAAAGCGAAAAAGACGGACAGGCCAAAGAATGGCACCTGCGTCACTGCGGAAACCCCGTTGACTCTGCGAGACACTAAAACCTCCCCGTACATTGGAAAGTCGGCCCAGGAAAAAAGAGACATCTACCACCGGGCCGGGACCTTTCCAAGCAGCCTTTCTTCAAGCAGTAGCCCCGACTCGTCGGAGAGCTTCCCCTCCGAGTGGGAGGAGCGTCTGACCGACTCCTCGACCCTCCCGGACGACGCCTTGGCGAGGGGCAGTCCCCCCGGTCGGGGCTTGTCAGAAGGAGTCCCAGGCTTAGGGCTCAGGGATGGGGCGAGTGGACAGCTCGGGCTGGTGGAGCACGCTGGGAAGGAGGAGAGGGACCGTGGATTCCTCAGCCTCCTGAACAGGTAAAAAGTGGGGGCAGGGGTTTGGGTTCATTTTATCCGTGTTGAAGCCAGAAATCAGCACATCCTTTAGAAGTGAACGGCCGTCCATCCATCGCTTCCAGCCAGCCAGCAAAACTTGTAATCTAATGTAGAGCCCTGTCTCTCGCCACTTTTCTCTTTCCTTCTCTGTGCTCTGTATCCGAATTTACCTCAATTTCTTGCTTTGTCTCTGTTTTTATGTTTCTCTCTTCCTCTGTCACATCTTTTACCTCTCCCTCCCTCTATAATCCTCTCCTCTCTCCACTCTATCTCACCCACTTCCCTCCCCCCTACCTCTCTCCCTCTTCCTCTCTCTCTTTCACCTCTCGCCCTCGCTCTCCTTGTCCCCACCTCTTCCTCTTGCCGTCTCAATCTCTCTTGCCTCTCCCTAGCTCCTCCCTCGCACTGCTTGTCTCCCTTTCACGCCGTTTCGCTCTCTCTCGCTTCCCCCTCTCTCGCTTCCCCCTCTCTATTGCATTTGCGTGGGATCCACAGCGCGATGACCGGGTGACGTCATCACGCAGATGTGTGCTGTGACATCGCCGCTGCGGCACTTGCACGCCAGCCAGCCAGGAATCCAAGCAGGAAGCAAGCCAGCAAACGTTTTTATTGCATATTTTATTTCAGCAAGGAAATCGCTTGAGATGGAATATTTCGTTTGCAGGGGTGTCCAGGGTATTTATTGACATGCTCACACACAATAACGTGGTGACAGGTGTACAGACATTTGAAATCTGTAACGTAATTTGTACTTTGAAGACCTCACAAAAAGTCACTCGCAGCTCTGCCAGCCGCAGAGCCAGGCTGCATCTCAGTCCATCTGGGGATTGTTTCTCGGTTTTGGTTTCCAACCCCCTGTCTGTCGTTTCCCTCTTTGCACGCTGGGGATTTTGTCTTTCCCTCCTCTGTGGTTGTAAAGCACCTTTGAGACACCGTGGCAATCACGTTTTGAATAAGTACAAATTCTTATCCTTAAATTGTTTGTTCATGAGAAAAGAATCCTCTCACTTTTAGGCGTCGTGTTGTTGTGATGTCGCCGTGGTGTGATGGGCACACTGTCAGTAACGTCGCCGTGTACAGCCAGTCGGTCGGCTCTTTTCTCGTGAAAATGCTTCAAGCTCGTGTCATACTAAATTCACTCACCCACCTCGCGGTCTGTCGCCACTGCAATCACTCTTCTACCATCGCTACCGTGGTTACTGTTCCCGTGGACTTGATTCCTCACACCCACGGTGAGGAATCAATCTATCAGACTGACTCACTGTCATCTCGTCCACACTGTTCAACTACTTAATGGGTGTCTGTTGTGCAGGTAATGTGTGCTTTGCGCGGATGTGTGAATATGTTTTCTATGGTGTGTGGGAGCGGTGGCGTAGCAAGTGAGCGTGCTGCGCTACGTACCTGGCGTAGCGCAGCGTGCTAAGGACACGAGTTCGATTCCCACTCACGACCAACACCAGTGGCGATTATCTGAACTGATCCTGGGCCTCCCCTCGGACGACTCAGCCTCAAATGAGAACCTGGTGCATTGTGTTAACATTGCCACTGGGAAGACAAAGGCGGCCGGGCATGGTCCTGGCCCCTCACCCCCTTATGTGCTATGTCAGCCTTCATAATTGCTCGCTAACAGCACTGGCCCCAATAGTCTGTTAAGGCTATATGGGGGAATCTTTGTCTTTGTGCGGTGTAGCAGTTAGCGCGCAATGCTACGAACCTGGTGACCAGAGCTTTATTCCCGGGCTTGGCCACCAACACCAGTGACGAATTATCTGAACCGGTCCTGGGCCTCCCCTTGGTCGACTCAGCCTCAAATGAGTACCTGGTATGGTGTGTAAACAACGCCACTGGAGGGACAAAGGCAGCCAGGCGTGGTGCTGACCACCCACCCCCTCGTGTGCCACTAACAGCACTTGCCCCCACAGTCTGTTAAGGCTATAGTGGGCATCTTTGTGTTACGTGCATGTTTCTGGAGCGGTAGTGCAGAGGCTGGCTCGCTGTGCTTCGAACCCAACGACCCGCGTTTGATTTCTGCTCAAACGTTACATGGGGGCATCTTCGTCTTTTGTACAGCAGACACGACATGACGGGCTTGGACGTGGTCGAGATGCTGGGCATGGATACGATGGAAGCGCTGGACGAGGGTGACATCACGGGCAGTGATCGCGTCTCCATGGACGAGGTGCTGGAGGGGGTGTTGCGAGACATGGATGGCGCCGTGGGCCGCTCCGACGAGGAGGCCCTGCTTCACCCGAGCCTCGTCGAGGGCCTGCCGCCCTCCGTTTGGATGTTCCTGCAGAGCATGGACCAGGCGACCGCCACTCGCTGTGAACAGACGGTGCCTCAGCTGTCCCCCGAGGGCCCGACGTCCGAAAGTCCCTCCGACGAGCGGCTGGACGTCATCAGCGGCACCGACGTGGACCCTTCGTTGGAGCTTCCTGAGGACCTGGGACCCCTTAAGTCCACCGTTAGAGCTCTGAACACATGCCCGGTGCGAGGCATTATTAAAGAGCGCAACTGAAGACTGGCGCGGCTTTCGAGCACCGCTTGTCTCTGCTGCTGCGCTCCTCTGTCGTTCGTGACATCGGCCTCAACAGCCAAGGCAGTGGGCGGTGTTCAGGGTGAGAGCGATAGATCGCGTCGGTCATCGCTCCCTGCCATGAACGCGACTGCGTGCGAACATTTCCGATCAAAACTTTCAAAGGTGGACTTTTTTTATCACATGAGATATGGGATCGAGTTGTACTGTTGCACCCCGTTTCCACAGAACTTGAGGCCATACTCAAGTCTCCACATTGTGAGGCAACTCAAGTTGGCTTCCCAATCCAGGCCGGGGCACAAAATTTCACGGACGATTGCACTTCCTGGGGCTGCCTCATCCAAATTCCGCATCAGAATATGGGCCGAGCGGTTAATTATATTTTAGGGAAAGACCTCTCCAATTCACTCGACACTAACTCGAGCGGCTCTGAAAGCCTCGGACACCTCAAATTCTGGGAAGAATGATGGGAACGAGGTGTGTGAAATGGGCAGCTTAAAACTCTCGACATACAGTGATGAATGACAAATGACTTGATTCGGTTGCGTATGGAATGATAATCAAGTTTTGTAACCTATCATTTTTTCGTAAATTCAGGGATTCAGAATAATTACACGCGACTACATTGACCTTCCATGAACAGTGACCAAAAATGTTGTGCCTTTTAACTTTTACGAATGTTATTTCGCGTGCTGTTATAGATGTAATATATACTTCTTCTACAATGTATTCCTCGGTCTGGCGTAAAACAGGGCGGCTGTTATATTTCATTGCCTTTTGTTTGCTGCGTAGAGGCGTTCTAACTCCAGCTGACTCAGCTTTGTACGCGCTTACCACAGCCAATGCAACCGAGAAACCTGTACAGTGCTATGCTCTTGTGTAAAGTTACAATAATGAGCATGTGATGCAGTTGTAACGAAACAGATGCCAATGACAATACGAGGACACATTTTGGCGACTGTGTAACTGCATTGACATATCTCATCAGGAATATACACTAACTCCCAAAACATCGTCTGGCATTGTTTTTTTCATATTTAAGGGATTTGTGAGAGTGAATGGAACCTTTACCGGGTACAAAGTTGAGAGCTCATTGAGACAATAATTGTAATCATTCAATTGAAATGATTGTTGTTCATAGTTTATAAACGATCATTGCCTATGTTATACTTATTCCCACAAACATTTTATTTTATATTCGTGTTTTACAATCACTGATTCAGTTTAATTTACAGCTGTCGATCCGCTGCTGGATGAAGGCCCTCCCCGCTTCGATGCCGGCGATGAGGGTTGCTTTGGCCATACTTCACAGTGTCGTAAACGTGCTATATGCGTAGTTGTACACGAATGTGGTGCCCTGCGTGTGTGTATTAGTGTGTGTGTCGTGTAGGGTGGGGAGCGGTAGTGTCGTGGTTAGCACGCTGTGCTATGAACCCGACGTCACGTGTTCGATTCCCGCTCACGGCCAACACCAGTGACGATTGTTTAACACGTAGGCTTTTGCGACCAATATTATTCATAATAAAGGTTTTTGGGTTAGATCGCGTTATTTATAAATGTGTCGTAACCCTCCACCACCCGACACGGCCAATCAGCAAAAAAGTGTCACGTTGACAAAAGACAAAAAGTTCATTACTTTAGCCCAGTCATCATCCAGCTCAGAAATCCTCTCTTATCAAGACGCTCATACATCGGGCTAAAACAGTTTCAGATGGTGAAAGTCTAGTGAGAGAGATCAAACACGTTAAAGAAGCACTACGACAGAATGGCTACAATAATGCTCAAATTAACAGAGCACTGAATGCCAAATCACGATCGCAAAGCAATACTGCTGAAAGCGATCAGATTGTTAAAACAATAAAAATTCCATATATCTCAGGAGTAATTGACAAATTAGCCTGTGTTTTGCAAAAGCAAAACATTACAATAAGATTTGGTACAGTACACAAAATTCAAAAACTAGTATCTTGCACTAAAGACGCATTACCTAAATGATCAACAGAAGGTGTATATCGGATTAATTGTTTATGTGGCAGATGCTATATTGGACAGACGGGACGTAACATCAGCATAAGACTAAAAAAACATCAAAGAAATATTAAATTATCTCAAACGCAACTGTCGGCAGTGGCAGAACATGCTTGTCAACAAGGACACTCAATTGATTTTGATAACGTTGAAGTGTTGTGTAAAACTAATTATTACTGGCAAAGACTAATTAGAGAATCGATTTAAATTGAGAGGAATAGAAATAACTTTAATCGCTCTGACAGCTACAGGCTTAGTGCGGCTTGGAAGCGTTTTATTAAATAATACATATTACAATTCCTTATAGGGGAAACACATACTAATTAACGGATTACTAACGTAGCATATAATCACAATAACACACATAACAACTAATTAATAATCTACAACTCATTACTAATCATAACCATTGACTGATTACCAATCGATTATATAATTACAATACCCCCCCTCCGCCTCAAATCACTACACCTGAAATGAGTTAAACGATGACGTCACCCTGCTGCTCTATTTAAGACCGGGAGCAAGCGAGGGCTTTACCATTCTGGCGAATTGCTCGATGATGCTGGATGTAATTACCAGCGAAACGTCGTACTCAAATTGTAAATGTGGATTCACTCTTCAACACACCGGTGGGCTAAAGCAGTGAACTATTTGTCTTTTGTCAACGTGACACTTTTTTGCTGATTGGCCGTGTCGGGTGGTGGAGGGTTACGACACATTTATAATAACGCGATCTAACCCAAAAACCTTTATGACTAGTGACGATTATCTGAACCGGTCCCGGGCCTCCCCTAGGTCGACTCAGCCTCAAATGAGTACCTGGTGCGGTGTGTAAACATCGCCACTGGGGAGATAAAGGCGGCCGGGCGTGGTGCTTGTCACCCATCCCATCTTGTGCCACAGTGCCGGCCTTCATAGGTCCTCGCTTACAGCACTTGTCCCGACAGTCTGCCACAGGCTATGCGGGGGTTCTTTGTCTGTTTGCCTGCCTGTACAACGCGGTGGCCCCACTCGTCGTGGGGGATTTTACAGCGTGGAGCGTCGCGCACGAACAAACTCCCCACACCTCACCCGCGGCGTGGGATTCTGTTTTTTATATTTCCCCTTTTATTATCTCCAGAGGTCAGCGGCGCACCCTGCCTGCCGCCGAATCTCCGCACAGGTGTGGAGTGCCGGCTCGCCCCGCCACTATTTATAGACGCAAATAGCATTTAATTTCCGCACGAACGTCCGTGTCCTCAAGAGACGCACCAACCGAGCCAAGCGCACGCAGCCACGACACTCGTGTTTGAACTGCAGCTATCCGTGCATCCTGTCAATGTATGTACGTGTATATGTTGAACTTCTTTCGCACCGTACATAGCCAACCGCGCTAATCGGAGGTGCGGGGGGGACAACAAACTAAACACAAAGCAGTTTTAAAGAAATTAGTTTTCAATCTCTGGTCACAGAGTGGTGTCGTTTACAACCTGCCTTTTCCGATCCGTACTGTGTGTGCACGTTTCCAGAGTACGCACAGCCCCCCCCCCCATTCCCCACCCTGTTTGTCAAATCACTGCAGGATGACAGCCGATAGCTCTCAACGGCGTGCGATTCACGGACACCGTCAGGAACGAAGGGTGAGGGAAGGGGGCGAGAGCGGCCACCTCCCGAGAGGAAGTCGACTCGAGGGGTTGGAACGAGAGCGTGCAGGGAGGGAAACAAATGGCGGGAGGAGGAAGCTGATGGACGTGGAAGCGCCGGGGTCGGAGGAAGTGGTTCGAGGTGGTTGAGACAGGATTTGCACGATCGTCGAGTAGACATGGAGATGATGACCCGGCACAGGAGTGGGTGGACAGACAGGAGCAGGAAGTCAGGACTCCACACGTGTGGGGATATAATACCAAGAAGAACCAACATTTATTTGTCTTTAAGTCAAAGTTATTTTCCACCACCTTTCAGATAATTGTGAAGTGATGCTCGTGTCTAGATTATATCTGTAAGCCTGCGGTGACATTGCTACGTTCGTATGGCAGGGAGTGAGCGAGTCTCAAAAGTGCCGCCACTGTTGACATCCACAAAGTGGTGCTCGTCGATTGAAGAGGGGGAGAAGCCGATGGAGCCCAGACCAGGATGTGCCTCAGCGTGCCGATCCTACTGCGTCTCTGTGCCTTCGTGATAAGAAACGAAACAAACACGGCCACACATCAGTTTCTGGGAATTATGTATTTAAACGTGTGTTTAGTAACAGGTACATGCACACTCAACCAACCGTATGCCAAATACTAACATGCGACAGTTTATCTCAAAGGGACATCTCAGGGTTGCCTCATCCGTTGCTGGCTTTACAGAGGCGCAGTGATGTCTTTGTTTTCTATCACCACGTAAAACTGTCCATAGAAACGTCCCGTCGTCGTCAGATGACATTTCGAGAAACAATTTGAGTTTAAAATTGCATTTCAAAATCCTGAGCGTCTAATAGACCACTGATCTTGTGGTCAAAGGACCCACCTAACTGTGGCACATTGTAATGTAGCACGAGTTGGTCACCTTTTTGTATACTGAACGAAGAAAAAGTCAACTTTTGAAAACGTCAGTTTAACATGTGTCGGGTGGTACGGGTTTAACGACATTTATATTTACGCGATCTAACCCAAAAAACCTGTTGTGTTTTGAAAACGTGTTTCCAAAAACGTGTTGGGAGAAGAAAAACAACTATCTGTCAGTTCTTAAGATGTTTAAATCCATGTTTTCAAGCAAGTTCACTCACAAATTTGTATTTAAAGCTTTCGTGACTGCAGTAATTCATATTCTTAGCTCTTTCGGTAAAGTCACGTTGAAGGGAAACAAATTAAATAATAATATATATAAAACTATAAAAATTCTCACGACGTTTCGACCATAACACAAACGGTCGTCATCAGGTGTGTCGGTTTGCATACATTTATTTATTTTAAAACGGTGTATTTATTTATAAAAAACGTCAGCGCCACGCGCAGCGATTTGACAGTTTATTTAGAAGGACTAGTCCATCTATGTTCTGAAAAGAGGAGGGGGGAGACGAAAAATTAATGTATGCTGTCTGAAAGCCACTGTAAGCGTGAACAATCAATTAAGACCTGAAATGGTTTATCAAATCTTTCCAATGATTGCTAAGCCAGAATCCATCTTCTCGGTTGAAATTGTCTCTGTGCTTGTATATGTGGATAGCCTCATGAATGAATCTCTCATGGTAGCCAGATGGCGTACAAAGAACCTTATAAATAAATACACCGATTAAAAATAAATAAATTTATGCAAACCGACACACCTGATGACGACTGTTTGTGTTATGGTCGAAACGTCGTGAGAATTTTTATAGTTTTATATATTTTATTATTTTATTGTTTCCCTTCAACGTGACTTTACCGAAAGAGCTAAGAATAAGTTCACTCACACTTCACAGCCGGTTTGCCACTCCATCGCTGGATAAGAGTCTCCCCATGCGGTGCAAGTCGTGTGGGTTATTTCACCATATGTAAACCACCCTGGTCAGTGCGGGTTGGTGAGGGTGGAGAGCATAGACGTGCAGGACAACAATTCATTTTCTGCACTGCCCTCCGCTGCCCACTGCGTAGCCACGTATACGACAACCTGTGTGTGTCTGGTGGCCGCTCTTCCACAGCGCTATCCAGTCTGAGCCCTGCTTAGCGTCTGAGACCTGACAAGGTTGGAGGATGGCTTATTTCTGCAACGACACCAAAATAAAACCATTAATTGGCTTGCTTTTTTTTTCATCACAGTGAGGGATTCTCATCGCGTCCTTGCGAAACGACCGAACGAGCCCCACGCGGGAAACTCCCTCGTGGTGCGTCCGGGGCTGAGAATGTAAACGTTGAACTTCTTTCGTACCGTACACGGCCAACCGCGCTAATCGCAGGTGAATGCGCACCGCATCTGAATCGCTTTGCTCACTCGGATGCGGTGCGCATTCGTCACCGACGTATGCGGAACTTTATTC